TAATAAACTTAAAGTAGATTCATCCCAGTGGCAGAGCTGGTCCATTGGATTCGTTTTTTTTTTTTCCATTTCATATTCTCTTTATCAGTCCCTTGTAAAAGAAATTCAGACTTAACAAATTCTAACTCAACTAAAACTAATTCAGTGCAGCAACAAACCACTTTTTTTAAAAAAAAGAATCCAACTTAACTGAATCCCACAAACCAAAATCTAACCTCTACAGCATCGTGCTCATCTGGTATTTTAGCGCCTAAGAACATTATAATCTACTTAAACAAGTCTGACTTCTTCTGTGGTTCCTAGAAAACAAACTACTAACCTATAATTCTGCCTCCACCATTGATTCATCATTCATTGTCCAATTTTGGTTTTGTATCATCTGTGTCAGTCCCTCATGAAAGGAATAAACACTTGAGGATAATTAAATTCATCTTTAACTGAAAAGTGCAAAATTTAGAGAGAAACAAACCACTTTTTTTTTTTTAGTTCATTGAAATGTGCAAACCCCAAATAACCTTTTCAGCATGATGTGACGACTGCATTCTGCTTTAACTCGTCTGTTTTCTGAAAAACAAGCAAAATTCCACCACATTTGTTGACTCATTCTGTCCAGTTCTGGTTTTGCACCATGTCTGGAATCCCTTATCAAACAACCCTCCTCCAAAGCTACGTTTGTTTACTGGGATCTCACAGTTCTGTTGAGTTCTGCTTATTTTTTAGGAGGCGATTTAAACAAACTACATTCACTCAAGTTCCACTTTGAGTTGCCTGTACTTCACTTGAATGGTTCCATTTTCTGCTGTTTAATTCTTCCCATCCGCGACCGTTCAGAGGCAAACATGCTCTTAACTTCTGATACATTGATTTGATGATTTAAGTTAATTTGCAGACTGAGTTAAATATAATCAACAAATCAATCGTTATCATGAGATCAAGATAAAGTTTATCGATCTGAAAGGAGATATAAAGGAGATTTATTGATCCGGGAGGAAATTCACAAACTAGCCAGCAGATAAACTATATAAAGCCATTAAAGTGATGAACACATTAATGCATCGATAATTATAATCCAATAAGTCACTCTTGCTATTGGATTATATTTATATGAGGGCTTTTACTTTTATTTCCTCAAGTCTAATTTGATGCTAATACTTTTGTACAAACTTAAATGCATGACTTTAACGGATACTCCTGCTCTGTGGTATTTATACTCGACTAATGCACAAACTATTGCTCTCGCTTATTGATCAAACCTGAAAAGTTTCTCCTTTACGTGTCAGAAAATGGATCGTAACCGAGACGGGGTGGTGACCATCGATGAGTTCATAGAAACTTGTCAGAAGGTAAATGAATCATCGAACTTTTACCACACGGTGACTGAGTTCATGCAGCGACTCAACATTTTCTCTTGTTGTTTTTGTCTCAACAGGATGAGAACATAATGGCTTCCATGCAGCTCTTTGAGAATGTCATCTAGTTTGTTGAAAGTGATTGGAGAGCAGCAACGCCGCGTAGTGCTTCCAGCTGCGACCGTCTAAATATTTCCATTCATCCTCAGCAGGAAAACTTGAGTCATGCAACACATTCGAACACAAACCGGTGAACACTAAACATTACTTTCCAGTCAAACTGCTTTCCGTGTAGAGAAGGGTGCAGGATTCACCAAATCACCCCAAGAAGAACATGTTTCTTTGCATGGCAGTTTTATTTTGTGTTTGCACATGAAGGAAACCAAGAACACGTCATCGGAGCCGGATGAGCATGAGTTTATGCCTGACATTTAAAAAAAAAAGCATGTGATGCAAAACACTTTGAACACAAACAAGGGGTTTCATTTCCCAGCACTTTGAAACAAATGAGAAACTTTGTTTTTGTATTATATTGTAAAAAATATATATATATATAGTTTGCTCCTAACTTTTAGATTTTCATGTGAACGTGATACCCAGTCCTTGTGCTGTTGACCTAAAACCTGCTGAAACCGACCCTCTGATAATCCTCCTCCTATTTTATCTTCCACTTTCAGGGACCATCTGCTTTGTGCTAAATCTTTTCCACCTTTTTATCTTGTATCAGCTTCCACCGGGGCAACACACGAGGCTGAGAGCTGTGAAAGCAGCAGGATGTTCACTTCCAAATGAAACAAGGAATTACCCAGAATATTTACCCTGTGCTAATTTTAATATCTAGCAAGTGATTACATCAGATTTGTTGCATTGTATTTGACGTTGTGTAACTGTAAGGCTGCAAAAAACAAAAAAATAAAGCAATAAAACAAAGTTTTAAGCAACTTGCTGCATGCAGTTTGTTACATGGATGCATCCCTGTTTTAAGTTAAACTGAACAAAGCTGTAACTGTACAAAACGGCCCCTCAGGAGGATCCTGTGAACACATGACAGAGAGCAGAGCCTCATAGTCTGTTTCTAGTCGCTAGCCTTTTGAACAGTCTCATCTTTTGGAACAATCCGCTCTCTTGTTCTGCATCCTCTGGATTCTCTGCTATCTCTGCATCACCGTCTTGGTATTTCTTACAAAACAAGTAAAGCTTCTTAAGGCCTGCGTGTTTTTTACCCAGACTCTGAAAATATCATCCATCATCAGTCGATGAAAAGTCGTATCCCACAATTTGGCTGTAAAAGGACTTCCATCCATCCATCCATCATCTATACACCGTTTAATCCTCTCTAGGGACGCGGGGTGCTGGAGTCTATCCCAGCTGACTCAGGGTGAAGGCAGGTTCACCTGGACAGGTAACCAGTCTATCACAGGGCTACACTTAGAGACAGACAACCAAGCACACTCACATTCACACCTACGGACAATTTAGAATCACCAATTAACCTCAACATGTTTTTGGACCTTGTGGGAGGAAGCCGGAGAACCTGGAGAGAACTCACGCTGCACGAAAGATCCCGGGTGTCCTCACCGGGACGTGAACTGGTGACCTTCTTGCAATGCAACGATGCTAACCACTGCACCATCTTGCAGCCCTCTGTGAAAGGACTTGTTATTAATATATTCGTCACCCTTAGATATCGCCATGAAATTTGACATGCTTGGTTGCCTAAAACTAAACTTCTGCTGTTGTTTTGTGTTACAAGTTATCTAAAATGTTATGTTCAAATATTGAAATGAGGAATTATCTATCAAAATATGGACCAATTTGCACACATTTCCAATACAGGGATTTGATTACTGGATAAAGTCAGCTTCTAAATCCTTATTTTATTTTGTTGGAATATGGTTTTTACAAAGAGGATTTTGGAAATCTCTCTTAAATACTGTCAACAGCCAGAAAAAGTCTGTTTTTGCAATGTTTTAAGACATAAAATGTATAATAAATTAGGCTATGACTGATATATGAAAGGATATGAAGTATAGATGGGAATCAAACTGGAAAGTTTTGTGTATTTATGAGCTACTGAAGAGGAGATTTCTGGCTGAATGTGGTAAAAACAAACAAACAAACTAATTTTAAGAAATTGGCATTAAAAGTTATGTAGTACATCATAAGGTCTACAGATGCAAATACCCCCAAAATATAGTAAAATAAATGCCTAAATGTGTAGTTTTGGATGTTTTCATTCCACTCATCTGAAACAAGACTTCTCTAAACTGACCACTGCATTTTTTGGCCTTAACCATAGAGACTTTAGAACAGCCAGGAGAGTTTCCTCTGAGGATCTTCTGGCTCATATGGAGTCCACATTTCTGCTTTGTAGCGCTTCAAAAGTGATCAGTAAAACCCTAAAATCAAATCTGTCTAAAAATCTGAGCCACTTTCAGAACTAGTTGGAGGCAAAAGAGTGACTTTATTAATATCAAAAAGGAGGAAAAAGATAAGAAAAGGTGAATGTATGATAGATTCATTGTTAGATGGTAAGAAAATAACCATCAAGTGATCGCAAGGATGCAAATGATTCTGTTAAATGTGCAACAATAAATCTGTCTTATAATAAAAAAGTCTTTCTTGCATTTTGAGTAAAAACGAGGAAACCTTCTAAAACTAAAACGAGGTGCGACACACATGCTGCTGCAGACCTGTGACTGAAATAACAAGTCCCAGTAATATATCTGTGGTGGCACCAGCTTTCCCTCTTGCAGAATAATGGCAGAAAACTGTATGTGAAATACCTGCATCAGCAAAACACATTGAACCTGCTGTGTATTATTGATCTGGAACCAATAGCAGAGCGGGGCTGGTGTCGGGGAGGAGCTGTGCTGACTATGTCGACCTGATGATAGTATAGAAATGATCATGAAGAACAACATGCTGCTGCTGCTGCGCTGCACTCCCAGTGTTGTGGTTTGAAAAAAGGGGGACGGCCGCTCCACAAACTCTCTGTGTGACCCAACACAAAGGTAAATAAATACTTTTTTTCCTGTTTCATGCAAGGTGGTTTGTGCCATAACAAAAAAAAAATCTGCATCTTTAATCATGACTTTAACTTTATAAAAGCTCTGTTTTTAAATGTCTTGCAGTGATGTACGTTCGATATTAGATCACTGGTGTCATAACCTGTTGAAGTAAACACTGTTAATCAGAGTCAGGACAAACAAAAGCCTCCTGAAAGAATGAAGCAGGCATTGCATAACGCCCAGCTAATCCCAGTGTTGAAAGAGAACGTGGATCATTCCAGATGTCTGCTGTTTGTTCTGGTGAACACACGACTATTGTTGCGCTGTAAATCAAAAGCTTAATGCCAGTTTTGAGCGGCTGCCAACAGACTTTACAAACTCCCCTCTCTCAGTTTAATGGCCATAGCACAGGCAAATAAAATGACCATCAGCTTAAGTGACACAAATAAAAACTTTCCAGGTTACTCTCTCGTGTTGTTGCAGCTCTCCAGTGATGCAGCGGAAGCTTCTCTCGCTGTGGGTTTGGCTGTTGCTCATGGCGGCTCTGTGCCCCGGTGCTCAGTACGCCTACGGCAAGCGAGGAGGGGTCTTCAAGGGCCGCGGTAAAGGCGACGGCAACAAGGAGGCTCCGTCCCAGAGCCGAGGCCTCTCCAAGCAGGGCCTGAAGTGGGCCGGAGCGGCAGCAGCCGGGATGCTGGGAGGCACCGGCACCGGCTACGGCCTGGGGTTCCTCGGCAAGCCAAAGCACGGATCTGGGAGTCATTACAGCCGCAAGACAGCCTCCACTGAGCAGGAACAACAAATTTACTACCAGGAGAGCCAGAGATACCACAACCAGTCTCTGTGGAGATCCTTTGTTAATGGGGCTGCCCCTGCTCAAGTCACTAACATCGTTCTCACACTTGGATTTGTGGTGTCTTTCTTTACAGCTGCCTAGATAAGAGATGTTTAATCCAGCATCTAATTAATGAGAAAGCAATCGAACCAAATTAAAGTGCCTTTGAACAAGCGATGCTTCCTGCTCTCTATTGATTAATGATAGATGGTGAGGTTTGCTGGAGTGTGATTGCAGGACTGAAGCTTCCATTTAGGAGGTTGTGATGTTTTCTGGGATTTATGGCAACTTCATGAGAGGATGCATCCTCAGATTAAAAACATACACGTGATCTTTGTTTTAGTGGCTGATTACAGTAGTTGTAGACTTGGTGAACCTTTTTAGTTACTTGTAGGCCAACAAAAAGTAAATGGAAAAAGTGAGAATCAATGCGAATCCCCTTTACCTATAGGCAATATTAACATTTTAGGAGTTTAATTAAGAATTAACCTACAGATTTATTTTTTATTGTGATTATTTATCAACCATTTAGTTAACAAAATGTCAGAAAACACAAAGTGCACAAAGTAAATTCAGGAAAGATCTTATTTTGTCTGATTAATATTCCAAAACCCAAAAATATGACACGATTAGGAATAGCCGCCAGTTCCCCATTTAAGCTGCAACCATCAAACATTTAGCATATTTGTTTGTCATTTTTGCTTCAATCAATTTCAATTTTCTGTTAATTAACTAATCTGTGCTGCTAGTTTGGGCATTTTGTCATTTAATAAAATACATCAAACTGTTCATTACTGTTAAATAGAAAAGGATTGTCTTAAATATGGTCCTAAATTAGAAAAGATTAGAACAGTTCTTGTCTTTTCTGCACTTTTATGTCATTATTTTATTAATCAGTCAACCTAAGAACCTCACACACACACACAAGAATATGTGACAAGTGTTTATAAAAGCGCACAATCGACGCAGAGAAGCCGTTTTGCAAATTATTTTATTCGACACATACACATTCATGAGAAACCATATTAAAACGTGTTAGTCATATTATCCGATGAGTAGCACAAAGTATTTACAAAGCGATTTTAAGAGTCACTCAGACATCTACACACCGGTAACGTGAGCTCGATAACACAGGTACAGAATATCCAGTCCTAAAGGGAAGTAAGTGCACTTTACAGATATTCTACAGCTAGACAGGATGAAAAAAAATTAATCTGTAATCTTAGATCAACTTAAATCGTGTTGCCAGAATCAATAAAACGTGATCAGGAGAGGAGCACGGAAAGGAAAACTGGCTGAATAGAAACACTATACATGTAAAAGGATGCATACAATCACTGCAAAATACACCGTACAGTGTGGTTTCTTTAATTTGGAATTCCTTTAAAATGGCTTTATTGACAGCCTGCAAGCTGAGTTTAAATGTTAAAACACGGAATGCTTCACAGAACTTAAGAGGGGAACAAAACACACAACTGGAATAGCAGAAGAATCGCAAACAAATAAAAAATCTCCATAAACGTGACACAGCAGGCAAATAAACGCTGCTGAGAGTTAAATCTCTTAAGACTATCAATTCTGTTAATTACCAGAGCGACATGCACCGTAACAGCCAGGGGATGTTAAAGAGTTTGGGGAAAAACAAACCGAGGTATTTACAGTGGCCCGACAATGCCTGACTTTCCCACCGTTCTCTGGGCAGATGCAGGTGATTGGAAGAAGAGACGTAGCGACTGGATCGAGGAAGAAAAAAAAACTTGTGTCCCTGGAAACTTGGAGCATGCACGGAAACATGAGGGTCATACAAGTACGCGAGTGGAGAACCACCCTCAGGCATTTCCAGTGTAATATTCAGCTGCTGTCAATGATTCCAGTCGCACTGTTGACAGCATAAAGGGAGGAGAATGAGTCGAGTTTGGATTTGAGACAGCAATAAAGTCCTGAATTGCACCTCATCTGCTCAAAAGACGGCACAGATTAAAAGTCAGTATCTTCAACTACAGTACCTCAACAGCTGCAGACAGTCAGTCTTGCTGCTTGTTTAATTGTGGACTGATGTCGTCCTTCTGTCAGGGGCTATTACATGCAAAAAAGGATTTCACACAGAGCCACAATGAGCCCCACATATCTGATTTCTGTCAGTTTAGTGTTTGTTGTGATGCATTGAAGGAAAACAGCTTCCATTTCCCAGTCGGGTTAAATGATGGCAGGGATTGGACATAAATAGAAGCTATGGTCTCTCCTCAAATGATGTGTTTAAGAAAGTCAGTGAGTGAAGTTCTGGCATCATTTGCTGCTCTTTTAAGTGTTGACTGATGTCTTCCTTCTGTCAGGGCAATAAAGGATTTCGCACAGAGCCACTACATATCTGAGAGCTACTTTCACATCTGATTTCTGTCATTTTTAGTGTTTATTCTGGTGTATTGAAGGAAGAAAAAAAAAAAGCTTCCATTGCCCTGTAGGGTTAAATGGTGGCAAGGATTGGACATAAACAGAAGCTATGGTCTCTCCTCGAATGATGTGTTCAAGACAGTCAGTTAGTGAAGTTCTTTCTGCACCACATAGAGCACAAACATCAAATATAATATTAGATATTTAGATTGTACTTGGTAAAATGTGCTTAGAGCAAGCATAAACTGGAGTATCACCGAATTCTCCCAAATTTAAAACACGAGACGTTCACATTAATCTGGAGCGCAGTACGCATCATCAACAGGTCAATAAACTGTCATAGCTGCTTGGAAATGTTTCTCTTAAACACATAAAGGAATGTCAGCACAAGGGAAACGACCCCGCGGTGAAGTGGGTCAGAGATGACTTTCCCTCTATTTCCATCTGGATGTGATTTCCGAGGTTGTGTCTCTGGAAAAACTTGGATACTAAATACATCCATTGAAGGACTTTTTCTACACGAAGGGAGGAAAACATTAGAATCTCAAGTGGCCAAACACTGTGGGACTGATCTAGAAGAACCGAATCCATGCACTGAGATGACTTTTTAGTTCATTTTGTTTCCCGTACTATGCAAGCGCCCCCTTCTTTACTCTATGGATCCACCTCTTGTAGCTTTAAACTTTCATAATATCAAAAAAAACGATGTTATAAATCAGGGAAGGAATCTTTTATCATCGTCCCGCAATATGCAAACCATCTTATGGGCAACTGTCTGTACCAAAGTGTGCCCAGAGCCGTAATTGAGCACTAAGTGAACTGGTCTTGGCCATTACGCAACAATACAAAGCCAGACATTAAACCCATTCATCCGCTACAGACGGTTCCTCACATTAGAACAGATCCATTATAAGAGCGAGCAAAAATGCTGGCATGCAGCGCTGTGAACTTCCCTGTGAGTGGTCATGTTCAAAGAACGGCTAATTAGCTCCCATTTTTTGTCCTAAATGACATCCTGTTCACTACCCTGAATCTGCTTTCAGTGCTCGACCATCCAGAGTTAAAAAGTGCAAATTATTAGGAGTGCAAAATTACTTCTTGATAAAAAAGAAATGATGGTTAAACTGACCCCTTTAGTTTGTACCATATCTACACGTCAGCGTTCTCGTACCTCTTGCTAGTTTTCTGCAGCGATATTAAACGATTGTAGAGTGACAGTATACAGCTATAGTTTGCCTTATAGAGATAATATACATTAGCTGAATGTGGACGTGCAGGTATAATGGAGACAATAAAAAGCCATTTGGGGTGTGGTAAATGGACGCCTGTTTTCTTCCTCACTGCAGCAGGAGCATGCTGGACAATAGCATGAGGGAGGAAGTGAATAACTGAATCACTCCATAACTCAGAGGGCTGCCGTTGTTTGGACCTATTTGTTGCTCGGCAGTTCGTTTCTTCAAGAAGCTCTCAGAGTAGACCATGTACTGCTCTACGCAGCGCCGGGACTTCATTTGCTCAATCAGGGCTGGGTATCCGATCTCCTCGATGCTTACGGTGTCATCATCCCCCTCATCGGCTTTGGTCTTAGTGGTGGCAGAGGTGCCGTTCATACAGCGACCCATGAAGTCCTCATAAGTCTGCGCCCGAGGAGGAGGCTGGTAGACGTAATCGCGGCCGTAGTCTTGCTGATCTGTCGACTGAGTGCCATAGCGGCGGTACATGTAGTTGTTGTAGTACTGTTCTTCTTCAGGGTTTCGGAAATTGAAATGCGGTCGAGGGAAGCGCCCCAGTCCATATCCAACCGCCATTCCAGCCAAAGCGCCGACACCTGCTGCCATCATGGCTTTTTTGGCGAACCCCGTGGACTTGGGCTGGTATCCCATACTCTGCACAGAGCGAGAGAAAGGAGATCCTCCCATCCCATAACCACCACCACCATATCCGTAACCTCCTCCGCCATAGCGGGGACTGAGGATCTTATTGCCTGGGTTCCAGTTGGGGTAACCACCAACTCCTCCACCAGGGTAACCGCCAGGATAACCACCAGGGTAACCACCAGGGTAACCACCTGGATTCCCACCCCAACCTTGTCCCGTGTTTCCTGTTCTGACTGGGTAACCACCTGCTCCTGGGTACGGGTTCGGGTAGCCGCCTGGATTCCTGCCCCCGGCTGCTGGGTAGCCTCCAGCAGCTGGATAGCCTCCAGCAGCTGGATAACCTCCTGCAGCAGGGTTCTGGTTAGGATATCCTCCACCTCTGCCTGGGTACTGGTTGGGGTAGCCGCCTCCTGCTGGGTAGCCTCCAGCAGGTGGATTTTGATTTGGATAATTACTTCTCCCTGGGTATTGATTAGGATAACCTCCAGCTGCTGGGTAGCCACCTGCAGGGTTCTGGTTGGGATAACCTCCAGCTGCTGGGTTCTGGTTTGGATAACCTCCAGCTGGTGGGTTCTGGTTTGGATAACCTCCAGGATTGGCTCTACCAGGATACTGGTTTGGGTTGCTACCAGCTCCTGGGTAATTTGGTTGGTTCTGTCTGGGATATCCTCCTGGATTGGAGTTGCCTGTTCCCGGGTAAGGGTAACTCCCACCGGCTGGATATGGATTGTTGTTTCGATTGGGACTCTGCGGCTGTCGAGGGTAATTTCCCGGCTGAGAGCTGGACGGCTTCGACTGTGTTCCTCTGTTGTTGGACGATGAGGGTTTCCTGCTGCCGAAGCTGCCGCCACCTCTTTTAGCCCATGTTAACTCAGTGTTCAGGAGACACAGTACAAGAAGGGACACAAGCAGCCGCTCACACAATCTCCCCATCATGGCCCTGAGGAGAAAATGTGTCAGGATAATGACTTACAGTTACAAAACCACACATTGCTTTCCCCTTTCTTTTTGCAGTGTGTTCTAATAGGACGGCCTAGTGTTACCTTTACACTTAATAATGCAAAAATGAACAACCCATTTGTATGCTTTTAGAGGCCATATTGCAGCAAATAGTCTCATCTGACAGCCTTGTCCTAGTTAAATGTAAAAGATATTCACGCAGATCACTCTCTGTACTCGCTCATCGTTTATACCCGTTGTGAACCTGTTACCACCGCATTATGATCGCGACCGTCCGCTTACATAAAAACAGCCTTAAAATAACAAACACAGCATGTGCGGCGCTTCGTTTTATCATCAGACACCCGAACCGAGATGTGCGCAACACAATCATCGTTCAGTATAAATCAATTAGCGGTTAATTCTTACCAGTAAGGGATGGCCTGTCTGAGCGCTTGGATGGTAATTCGATTTAAATGCGTTTGTTGTCCTCCTTCTCTCCCTCTGCTCCGAAATAACGGGCTCTGGCTCGGGGTGGATTCTTTGGGAGAGGGTGCGCTCGATTTGAATCACTGTGGATACCTTTGTGGGATGCAGTGGGGAGGGGACCTCTTTGCTGTGGCCTCTAAACCCAAAAACTAAAACAGAAATGTCATGTTGTCAGACGTATTTTACTTACTTTACCTTACCTAGCATATCACTACGAAGAACAACAATAGTTAGCTTAACCCCGCTCATTTTGAGTACGTTTCTCTGCGATCTGTCATGTAGCATTTCATACGGAAACGTCACTCAAAACACGATTTTCTCCAACAACTGGCGCATTTTTTAGCACTTTCGTGATAACAAATCATTCTGTGAGATGTCGTAGGTATAAGGAGGCTGTGCGGTGTTAAGAATAGTTCGGTCCTACCACTGTCCGTTACGTCCCGGTATATAGAACAAGTGCACATCCGAGGCCTGCCATCGTTCTTCTTCTTGGTTTTAATGGCGGTTGCTGCACTACTGCCACCAACTGGATAGGAGCCGCTCTCTTCCTCATTCTATTCCTCTACTAAAACATAATTATAAGCGAACAATTTCAGATTAATTTCAACAGAAATAAATGCAGATAGACACATAGGTGAGTAAAGGGAAAAGCAATAAACAGAAAAACAACAAATAGACTGGGAATCAATCTGCCCCCTGAACAGTGCCAGCATACCAAAGCTCAGACACATTCGTGAAGTGAAAAATTCAATTAACAGAATGAAGTTAAATCAAGTTATCTTGATGCATGTAGCTCTGATAAACATTATATATTACAACAAATCGCCAAATAAATTATTATAGGAACACAAAGAATTATCCCATTTTTGTTGTGACGTTGCCATCAATGATGCAAAAGGATCCACTGGGTGTTTAGTTCCACAGATTGCATAAGGATTCATATGATCCCTCTTGCAGCCAATAGTAGAACATTTGGTGTGCGTTTTTCGTGGTTGACATCTTGTGGAAATTTTTTGCTATGATCTTCATAAGGTCCACAAGTCTGAGTTGTCTTTGTCTTGTTTTATTCACAGCTTTGAAGGTACAGATCATACAGAGTGCAAGCAGCCTGCAGGAGAGTACACATGAGTGCAGGCAGCATGGTATTCTTATACATGTACAGGCGTGGCCTTCGCTGCAATGGTAGTATAACAATCTCGTGCTTGATAATCAACAGCTGGGGGTACAGGGTGCACTCATCCACAGATATAAGAAGACTAAACACATTGGATCAGACATCAAAAGTCTAAATTGGATGCAACAACACTGTGTTTCCTATAATCTTCTTGACATGAACAACTTCTTCTTTCTGTACGGTCACTAATCTTTTACCTAGATGTTATGAAAACACATTTCCTCTCATTGGGCCTGTAACCTTCCCACTCAGCTTTAATGAAACTTAATGAAACTTGCTTTGACATTCCTGATGCAGTATCTTCATGCAGTATTTTTCCCATTACAGACACATTTTAGAGTTAGCAGAGGCAGCTCTTGAAAGAAAATAAAACAGGCGGACTGCGAGGTCGCTGCTCAGTCTGAATGGCTCACCTTGGAGGCAGCAGAGAGTGCTGGATTACAAGTTTGAGCTTGACGGATATTTGAAATTTAAATTGGAGGCTATGTTTGAATCAGAATTACAATCAGAATCAAATTTAATTTTTTTTTTTTATTGCCAAGTAGGTTTTCACATACAAAGAATCTGACTTGGCATGTTAGTGTATAATAGTAAACACTCACATGTAGATTTTAAAAAGTGTTGCAAGTCAGTAGAAAGTACATGCTACAAGAGAAACAGGACAAACAAGCCATGAAAAGTAATAGAAGTACTTCCAGTGTTAGTCAATGTGCAAACTGATCACCTGAGAATGTGCAAGGTTAGTATGTAATGTAATGTGCAGAAAGATAACTTTAATTCTGTTTAAAAGCTGTGCATTATTAATGTGACACATAGAGTCAATGTCTATGGTCGGTGGTTGGGGGGAGAGAGGCAGCGTCATTTCCAGATGATACACTGCAGTCTGTCTTTCGTACTAGAAGGTGATGGAGAAGGTGAAGATGGACTCAGTGATGTAGGTATAGAAGTGTAGCATCATCATCTTGGGCAGCTTCAATATATTAAGCTGCCACAGGAAATACATCCTCTGTTTTGCCTTCTGAGGAACCAAACACTTGAAGTCCTGGGTGATGATGGAGACCAGGAAGTGGAAGTGCTCCACAGGGTTCACTGGGGAGCCACACAGGATGATTGATGGAGGCGGGTGGGGCTGGGTCAAAACCCCATTTTGAATCTTTTCATAACTGATGGAGCATGTATGAAATAAATATTCATATTTTATGTTGTTAAAGTCAAATGAAAGATGACTGAGCAGAAATTGTTCAAAAATTTTATTTGAAATTAACTGAGCTATATAGTTCAGGAGGGCTTAAGAAAATGTCAGAAGTAAACGTCTTTATATCTCAACAGCTTCTACTTTACTCCTCAGGCTTTATAACAACCACAGGACACAATTAAATGGATTTTCGTCGTGCGGGACCTTTAAAGTCCTCTGGGAAGCTGCAAGGAGCGAAGATGTCTCCTCCGTCCTTGGATCTCTTCCTCTGTCGCGCATCCTCACTGGGAGGCGGAGCTACGTTACCGCACGCCGCGCTGTGATTGGACGAGCCCCACTCTGGCGTCACGGTTGTAAATCCCCGTATGTACTCGCAGCTCCGTGTCCGGTGGAAACCACAAACATGTCGGTGCGGAGAGAACCGAGCGGAGGAACCGAGAAGAGCTCACCTGAGACATAAGCAGCACAAGTTTGGACAAACGGTGGCATTTTATGCGACTTTAGAGCAGCAGCTGCGGTTCACTGTTTCACCGAAGCGGGCCGGTCGGGAGCGAATGGACGGATAAAACCAGACAGCCGGGGCTTGGATCCGAAGACGCAGCCTCGCAAAGCAGGTGGCCGGGGCCGGTAACGGGGAGACGGAGAGGAGGGCAGCGTGTGCGGGCTCAGATCAAGACGGGTCTCGCCTTGCTAGGGGATGTTATCCGTACTGTCTTATGGCAGACTGGTAGCCAGGGCTGTCCTGGGCGGACTCTCTCAGACAGACGGTCGGGACTACAGCCTGATCAGCGCCAGCTATGGCTTCGGTAAAGACTTTCGCAAGGGGATCCTGAAGAAAGGGATGTGTTACGGGGATGATGCCTGCTTCATAGCGCGGCACAGGACCGCCGATGTGTTGGGTAAGGAGGCTGGGATGGGGGAACCCTGTGGGCGGCTTGCAGTTGCATGTTAGACCCCCTCTGTGCTCGGGTGACCTTCAGTGAGCTAGCCTGCACGTGTACCGACCTCACGGATGAAAACACAACAGCCCCCACCCCCTCCGGCACAGAGCTACAACTTTTACCCCATGTTGCGGCCAGGTTAGCTTTATTTAACCAACCTGAACAGACGCTTATAATACATATGTACTTACAGAGCACCTGCGGTCGTGTCAGCACTCGAATAAGGGCCGATTATCTGCCGTTAGCGGGTTGTTTTGAGGTGAAACACCGATGACCTTTCACCTACATGAGCCCCAATGGAGGAATAAGTGGCGACAACGCGAGATATCAGAGAGATAAAAGTACATATTATAAATAAGCTTCAACAGAGGTGGACATGGCTGAAAAAGTCCACATTAAAAGGTCTCCGGCTGAACACTACAATGTCTTGCAAAGGTCAGAATGGTTGAGCATGGAGGCAGCCATATTGCTAATAGCATCATTAGCCTGCTAGCTTCGCTGAGTGTAATTGCTTTGTCCTCACCGCCCAGCTGGCAGCAGGGAAGCAGCCAAATGCCGAGCTAACCACATGGCCTGGTCGACACCTACATGGGCTGTTGTACAGTTTTCAAGCACTGTTTTGTTGTTAATGTTCAGGTTATTGGGATAAAGTAAAAATAAAAATAGCTCCGAGGAGCACGTTTCCCCACAGGGCTTCACGTGAGCACAAGAAATGTGGTGAAGTCTGTGAACTCCTCTGAGGGGTTTAAAGACCGGCTTTAAAAAGCATCGTGGCTTCTAGCTAATATCATAGGTGATGTCGTTTTTCTTGTTTTTTTCTTTCCAGCAGCACAGAGGGAACATTTCAGGGGCATACCAGGATGTACTTTCTACTTTCACTTTCTAATTTCAGCTAACTTTCACCTCAGATGGACAGAGAGAATTACACTTGTCCTCACTGTTAGTTAGTCACAGACAATGGAGACAATGTGGGTTATTAATATTGATGTTGTCACATGCCATACAGTAGTTTGTTCCATTTTAAAAGGAAATATTGATTCAATGAGTGATCAATGAGTTAGAGGAAAAGCCTGGGATCTCTGATTACATGGACCATGAAAGCCAAACAGCACATACTTGTATTAGAGCGTTTGTCTCTGATGTTAGCTGATGGAGAGATTCATTTTAAACCAAGGGACGTTTCTTTTTGCTGTCTTCCAAAAAACGAGATGAGCTAGATGTTTAGAAATAATAAATAAATGCAGTGCCTGATCATATATATCGTATGCATTAGTAATAATACGATACAAAATGAAACTAGAGTAGAAAATTAGAAGTAATACTGTCGTGATAATGAAATATTGCACACGGTTTGAGACCAGCTGGATTATAGGGATGTTATTACGATCCATGGAAACCTGAGGACAGACACAATGAAACCTACAGTTGCAGGGAAGCTGCTTTAAGGGATTTCCAAATAAAGGGTGGATAAATAATTCAACCGTGCAAATGAAAGGGTGTTGTTCAGTTCCTAATGGTTTTATTCTACTTAAGAATAAACCCCACCAGTGGCAAGCATTTATGAGGTGACTAAGATGAAGCCATGAAACAAGTAGCTCTGAAATTAGAGAGAAATAGGTTATATTTTGATGTATTTAGAGATTACAGTGGACAAAGGTTAAGTGGGCTTGTTGACAGGATGCAGATTTATGGCCCGCATGCTGCCAGATAGCATTTTTAAAATATAGGTGAGCATAGAAGAAGGTAGAGCATGAATGCCTACAAAGTAATGATGATATAACTGTGTTGTTTTCATGTCTTGTGGAACTGACTTGTTCACATTTTGCAGGGTGACAGACATCAGTAAGAGCAATTTAGTGGCTGTACACGAAAGAAAAGAACAGAAAGGCAGCATGGATGTGAAAATGTAGACTTGACGTTGTCTCTGACTGGCAAAGAAAATCACTGCTGCTGTAGTTATTGCATTTGAATTATATTTGTCCATATCATTTATTCTTTACAATGTTAGAATGCTGCTTGTTTGATCTGTTCAAGACCAAAACGCAAAGATTTCCAATGAAAGAGAGCAATACATCTTCACATTTGTAAAGCTGCAACCAGATTACATTTTGAAATCTGTACTTGAGAAAAGACTTTTTCATTTCTGTTGATTAAAAAGGATTTGTTTGGAGGTGGTTGAGCAGCAAAACCAGAACAATGTTTTTTTTTCTCCATCAGGTGTTGCAGACGGCGTAGGCGGTTGGCGGGACTACGGCGTCGACCCGTCTCAGTTCTCTGCCACCTTGATGAGGACTTGTGAGCGACTGGTGAAGGAGGGACGCTTCACTCCCAGTAATCCCGTGGGCATCCTGACCTCTGGCTACTACGAGCTCTTACAGAACAAAGTTCCCCTGCTAGGTGAGTACGCGCAGACGGAAAGATCCGCACAGATGATGCACCAGAGAACATGCACAGTCGGTGGTGGAGTGAGTTATGCTGAACAGCCAGAATTCAGAGAAATAAATAAAATAGCTGCAGTATGAGTCAGACTGTGAGTAGTGGCCTTGTTTAGAGATGCACAACATACTGCGAGTCACGGCAGGAGGTATCTGCATTTATTTCTTTATCTAACCTGGCACAAAAATGCACCAAAAGATGTGAGGATATGCAGATGATATTCGTGCCAGTATTCGGCATGTCATCAATTCTGCACTTTATTTTTTTTTTTTGGATAATGTTGAGGCAGAATTCCAGCTTATTTGTTGTCGTAATTATTTATTTATTTATGATTCAGGCTTGAACCTGCCTCCCACTGACTGACGTAACACCAATGAGATAACTAACCAACCAGGACCGAGCTGTACTTGCCGACACTTGGAAGCCTAAACTCGGTGACCTGGTGGGGTTCAGCTATTTTCTTTTTACACAGGGCGAACATTTTGCCTCGTGCCCCACAAGGTCAGGTATCCGCCTGTAACCGATCCTAGTCGGGGAGATTTTTTAAATGCAGGGTCGTGCCAAACATGTGACCAAGGTCGCATGTCTTCTTCTCAGTATCCCTGACCCAGAGCAAGCGCAGACACCGACTGGCTGTCGTGATATTTGTAAAACGTTTTGCTTTTATTTTGGGAAGCCGTGACGTTGTTGGTAAATGACCTTCCCTGCTTAAGGATACAAGGTTACGGACTGTTGATAGCTGCAGTCACGAGGGCGCTGGGAACTGTGTTAGTATTTCTCTCCTTTGACGTAAGGCCACACATGAAGGACATCATAATATTTCCTAACCACGAGGGCAGTCATGTCCTGGTTGAGCAGTATTCGAACACGCATCCACTCAGCACTTCTTTTATTACCATCTGAAAGTTTCCCCGTGGTTCTGCAAATCAAATTGACTTCCATTTGCTTCCCACTGTACTCGTATAACATTTCCATAACCTTATTGTTTGCAGGGAGCAGCACGGCCTGCATCGTGGTTCTGGATCGAAGGAGTCACCGGCTACACACATGTAATCTTGGTGACTCAGGCTTCCTGGTGGTGCGGGGAGGAGAGGTGGTTCATCGCTCAGACGAGCAGCAGCACTATTTTAACACGCCGTTCCAGCTATCCATCGCTCCTCCGGGAGCCGAGGGGGTGGTGCTCAGCGACAGGTCAGTGGCTCAGTGTTACATACATCCTCTCAAGCGTGAAAGCAATTCAAAGAATGAAAATAAAACGCTCCATCATATGGATACTGGAATGTGGCGGGACTAGCAGCTTTACAGCACACTGCACTTTCCATTTTTAGTGCAAGTAGATCAGACAAAGGTGAAATTGAAAATGCCCCATATGAGCTTGCATTGAATAGCTGGACTGCTGTCTTTTTAGCTCTGCTCTTGCCATAGTTGGCTTTGCATATCATTTTGCAATGCAAAGGATCCTTTAACATGGAAATGTTGGGTGTGATGCTTTTCATTTTCACTTCCAGGTAAATGCTTACAATACTGAATTAAACTGGGCTCATTGTCCTCTCATGTGGGAGGTAAATCTAGCTGCAGTGAGACCTTTTCTTCAGTGTTTGCAAAGTAAACAAGACCTGCTTTGGCATCACATTCTGAAGCGTGTGCAGGTGGACTCAGGTTCACTGGTCAAGCAGTTCTACATCTTAACTCCTCTTTTCACACCTCGCCTACATGAAAAGTCCTCTCGTATCCTGTTTGTTGTGGTTGACATTTTAGTGACATTAAAGGTGAACACATCATCTTTATCACCACAACCTAATAGAATACTACCCTCACCAGCTGGTGCTCGTATTCATGAGTCATTTTCTCACAAGGGTGGTTAAGAAATATCCGTAGGTGCTGTACGCACATCAACATCCATCAGCGGTATCCTCAACACCCAGTAATGTAATTCTGTGGCTTCAGGCAGCCTCGTGCAGCTTTTTACAGCTTGACCTTTTAACAGATCTCAGAGCATATTCAGGACTCAGTAGTTCTCAACGAGACAGCAAGGATTACAAATACAGAGGATGTAGAATATTGGACTCTGCACTGCTTGTTCTGAATTAAAGTAGACTGTCTGGATAATTAGTTGGGTTTGGCCGATCTTGGTGGCAGCACTACAAGCAGGGTTTTTTTTCCGATGTTACCTTTTACAGATTTAGTGTTTTTAACTATCTACAGGAAACCACAGCACCTAAATTTGCACTTAGCAGTATCAAGAAAGGTAGCCGTCTCATTGTGACATGTATTCAGGTTTGCCAGGTTACCCAGATGGAGGCGTCACAATTTGAGTCTGACAAAGGCAGCCTGATTGACAATGGATAAGCTGTTTGTAATCCATTTGGATCAGTCTTGAGGTCTTGTTTTGTAGGATTTATTCTCACTGGTTTAATTCTTGTCCTTTTGAAGTGCAATTACATTAAAGATTTAAATGGTTAACATTCCTGTTCAGCTGTATTTATAGCTCTCTGGTATGTCAGCTTAAAATAAAAACTTTAAAGACCGAGCAGGAACATAAGGTTCCCGGCAAATAAAACTTGAGTCTTGGGTATGAGGCCAGCAAGCAACAGGGCCTCCCTGCATCTGGCAAGGGCAAATAGGGCAGGCGGCTTTTGAGTCGTCTGTCAGATTAAACCTTCAAGATTTGGCTGAGCATCTTCTGACCTGCTTAATTCCAAACTGGAAACGGTTTCCAGCAGCTCAGGTGCTTCATGCTCCGGATTCACGTGACTGATCTCGCCGTGTCCCCTTGTTTCCTCCAGTCCTGAAGCAGCTGACAGCTCCTCTTTTGACGTGCAGCTCGGTGACATCATCTTAACGGCGACAGATGGTCTTTTTGACAACATGCCAGACTACATGATTCTTCAGGAGCTGAAAAAACTCAAGGTGTCACTTCCGGATATCAGCTTATTTATACATCTGACACAACAAATGCACGTCTTTCATATTTTAACTTTTTGTTTGTTTTGTTTCAGACTACCAACTATGACAGCATCCTGCAGACTGCACAAAGCATTGCGAAGCAGGCTCACGATCTTGCCTACGACCCCAACTATATGTCCCCTTTTGCACAGTTTGCCTGTGACAACGGCCTGAATGTAAGAGGTAAGGTGCTGAGTTTTTAGATCCATCATCGTGTCTCACACATTATATGTAACTGCTGTTAAAACCAAAAACGATCCTTTTCTTATGAAAGTAGACAACAGATTATTGTTTTTATTGGTTGTATTCCTATTTGACATTAAGCATACGGCATTGTTGCATTTCTAATTTGTTATGTATTACATATACGTTGGATTTTTATTTATTTTTGAGGCATGAGGAAGATGCGTGTTGCAAATATTTTTAATGTCCTTATTACAGAAATCACACTGTTCATAATCATTTTTTTTATTTGCTGCAATCATACCTTCAGTTAGCTGTGGTTTATTTAGTTATATAGACCCGGACTAAACTAAAACAGTAGCATCATACTCTTAGCACGAGCTGTCACCTTGGGAGGCCTGCTTTGCATGACTTGATGATAATTACATCTGGCGTGCTTCCTCACCCTTTTTTTTTTTCTTTGTTCCGCAGGAGGGAAGCCAGATGATATCACGGTGCTGCTGTCCATTGTGGCTGAATATACAGACTAAAAGTGTGTATGTGTGTGACTGTGCTTCTCTGAGGCTGATCCCTCCTTTGCCGTCTGCCTGAGTCTTCCACCTGCAGCCCTCCCATAATGCACTGCGTCCTGTGGGCTGACAGGGGAGGCCCACCAACACGACACACAACCCGTCACCGTGCGGCTGACATCCACCTGTGTAACATTTTTGTTTTTCTTCTGCTGTTTTCGTTTCGGTGCTTGAACTGCTGAGGGAACGGCAGGCAGCTAGGACATTTTCATGTTGATCATGATGCAGGAGGAGAGCTGAGAACGGCGGGCTTAGCGGATGCCTTCCAGTCTCCGGCGTCTCATCGCGTGGCATCAACACTTTGAACGCGATGTGACTGAGAGACAGTCCGGGGCAGTTTGGATGAAGCGAGGGCTTTAAAATCTGGTAGCCGCCGTGTAGAAAAAAATTATAATAAGGAGTAAGCCATGGGTTTGGATTCTTTAAAGAGTAGCGATAGAGTCGACTAGTGAGCCCGGCTATCCGGAGGGTTGGACTTTGAGAACCAGTTCCAAATTGGCTCCAAAGTCACGACTCCAAAGGAATCGTTGGGAAGTTTTAATGTTTGATTCTGCTCATCGGTTCTTCAATACTTCGTTCATTACACCTACATGGTGTGTGCGCTGAATCCTCCTGATGCGATTGTCTTAATGAATCTTGAGTTAAGCTCGATTGTCGGCAAACTCAGCTGTTGCTGAGCTGCTTGATTAGCAGGCGTGTGGGGTTCTCTTAATCAATCACCTTAATTTAGCAAACGCCAAGGTACACATCACTTTAAAAGGACGGAACTGGTTGAAACAAACATGAATTTATGAAAATATATACACCACTGTTACGATATCTACCTGTGTGATTCTCCAGGTACTGCTTAGTCTGTCCTCAGCACCTCAGTGCATATGTTCTCACACAAGAATAACACAAGAGGACGTTCTTCCTCAACACAACACAGTAGCTGTGATGCTTACGGAGATGTTTAACAGCAAACTAAAGGTACTTTATGACCCAGAGTTGGCCTGTGGTTTAGGAAGTTCTCGGGTACTAAAAGGACTAATTACACGTTGTAAAAGTCCAGCTTTGAAAGTGGCGTTAAAGGTAAAAGTAGTCAATACAGATAAATGCCTCATGTGACTGTATATTAGATCGTTATGACTCAAACATTAATGTAAAAGCAGGATTTGAGAATCGAGACTCTGCGAGAACCGGAATCGATCAGCAGAATCCTTAAAACACCCAACCGTAGCCGTCTTATCTCCGTTGATAACCTGTTCCATGTTGTAAATGCGTCTGAACAAAGCGTAAACCGAGGAAGCCGGTGTTGGGAGTGACGGGTGCTGTCGGATGATGAAGAGTCGGGTTTTGGTGTCTCGGGGGTTCGGGAAGGTGAACGATGAAAGCTACGCTCAGAACAAAGAAATTAAAGCGGAACACTCGTCGAAGCTTTCGTGTGAAGGTTGATCAGGTGTCGTCACGTGGCCGAGGGAAATGCACATCCTGATGAGTTGTAAATATTTTTGTGTTTTTAGGGCTACGCTCTGGCCTTTCTGTTGTCTTCGATTCGGCTGTTGAAGCAAAGAGCTGTTTCGTTACTATTGTGGAGGATAAAACACATGCATTCATAAATATATTTTTCCTGTATAGATATTAATCTTGAAGTGAGCTTCGTCGGTCCCACACTTCCACTTGCTGAAACGAACAAGGAGACGTTTGCTGAGGTTGGGAGGATGCAAAACAGTGTGTATGCGAGAAGCTGTTGTGTTATGGGAACGTGTGTTATATTTAATGTTTTGTCGTCTCAGAAAGCTAAAGCTAGCGTCTGGGAATGCTTACAGTTGCAATGATAGGTCAGGAATGAATTTAAAGGAGAAAAAAAGATGTATTTTTTTAACATTATTTTTGTTTTAAAGGTAACAGCTTGATGTGTGATGGACGACTAAGAGATCTAGCTATCTTAAAGAATCAATGTGAGCGTGTTTCGAATTTGTTTTTATCTCTCGGTTCCCTTTTACATTTGTTTGCTGCTTCTCTTTTTTTTTTTTGTAATTCAGATGTCTGTATATTTACGGTCACCATGATTGTGATGAGTGTGTGTGTGTGTGTGTGTGTGTGTGAGTTGATGGATTTCGCCAAATTACATTAATCAAAGACACTGATGATACTGTTCTGTCCCTTTTTGTCTTTGTCTGGTTCGGACAAAGTCTTTACAGTTTAAAAGCAAATGCACCAAAGACACATTTTCTTTGTGTACGTTATCACGCTCTCCTCGTCATACAGCAATACTGTAAGTTCCTCGTGCTCAGAATGGCGCGCGAAGCATCCGTGGAGTGACATTAAAATGTATTTTCTAATGCTTGTTTGAGAACAAAAGTTGTATCATACTCCTGGTTTAAGTTATATGTGACTGGTTATGTGTACGTTTGTGGGAGACAGGTTTAAAAATAAAAACACAAAAGAAGGAAAGCCATATATGAATACGTGATCGGGGGGAGGCTGCTGCTCTGTGAGCTGCTGTGAAGTTAACGTGTTGGTGGAGACCAATGTTGTCACTGTGTTGCTGCCGTAGTTGAATCCGCTGGTCCTCCGTGTGTGTGTTTCGTGTAAGAGAGCAAACTGCATGCGATGGAGGCAGCAGTGCAACAAAAATGACCACATTTTACATCAATTCAAACCGACCGGAGACGATTATGTGACGATAATCTGTCGGTTCCTTTTTTTGCATGTTTTCTGTCTCGGCTACTGGCACCACTTTACAAAGTTAATTTCCCACGGTTGTAGTGTGTCGTCGTGTTTAGAATGGTTTGTGTACGTTCTTCAAAGATAGCTCTATATTTGACATGGTGTGCTGATGAGGGAGGCGTGAACTTCCAGTGCGAGGTCGAGCACAGATTCAGCCTTAACTAATAGCTAGACCTGTAATCAAGAGGCCTTTCCTGTCATTGCAAGCTTGTCTCGTCTCCGTCGTGATGCGCGGTGTTTGATGTAAATGAAGTGTGCCCCCCTACTCTCCCCACTCCCCACCTCCTCGTCTTTCTTCCCCCCGTAAAGCCGTTTTCAAAGGTGCTTCTGCGGTCTGATGGTATGATTGTTCTCTTTCCAGCAAGTGTATGAGAGATACACCTGTCTACAGTGTAACAATGCAGGTCTAATTTATGTAAATATGTTTTAAAATATGTACAATATTTAAATAAAGAATCTAGTATTTATACTAAACTTGTTGGAGAGTTTTTACATTAAATACAAGGAAACATCCATCCATCCATCATCTATACACCACTTAAACCTCACTAGGGTCATGGGGGGCTGGAGTCTATCCCAGCTGACTCAGGGCGAAGACAGGTTCACCTGGACAGGTCACCAGTCTATCACAGGGCTACACTTAGAGACAGACAACCAAGCACACTCACATTCACACCTACGGACAATTTAGAATCACCAATTAACCTCAACATGTTTCTGGACTGTATGGGAGGAAGCTGGAGAACCCAGAGAGAACCCACGCTGCACGGGGAGAACATGGAGACTCCACACAGAAAGATCCTGGGTGTCCTCACCGGGACGCGAACCTGCGACCTTCTTGCTGCGAGGTGACGGTGCTAACCACCGATCCACTTTGTAGCCCTATGAAAATATCAACAAGATAAAAAATTTTAAAAAGTCATTTTTAGACATAGGAGGTCTTCTAATCATCTTCAATTTCCATAATTATAGATCTACAAGGGAAACAAACTGAGAAAATGCAGATTGTGTACCACTAAAACAACATTTCTTTCTTTTATAGACTTTCAGAATTTTTCAGTTTCCATCACAGAGAATGCTGTTAAAGAAATCCTGTCAAAGTGTTCTATTAAAACACAGGAAGTCTTCTAGAAATGATCAGTCGACGTGATGTTCAGTCACTGCACATTTTATCTAAGGTGCAATATTTCCAAAAAGTTGGATATGCTGCTGTGACATTTATTTCCTTTTTCCTTTTTTTGTAAATTCAGAAAGGGTTTATATATAATCTACAGCTACTGTTCAACTCATAAATCATTGTATTCATTTATTATTAGTAGTTTTCATGCATGTACATTTGATTAAAGTTGCGTATTTTAGTGGATACGGTTGTGTGAGCAGCATGTAAAATTAAATCCAGAACTACATAGCTTCGCCCAAATAATAAACCCTGACATGAACAGAATGGAGCTGCCATATAAAAGAGGCTCGCCCACTTGAACTTTGGTTTACAGTCTGGCCAGCGGTTATATTTTGGGCTGCTCCACATCGTCACACAGTAAGTATTTGAATATTGCAGTGTAACTACTTGGAGATACTTTTAGATTTAGGTACTTCCTACTAACACTAGTAAAACAGATATATAAAGAGTACTTTATTGATCCCCAGAAGGAAATTGCAGTGGTGCAGCAGCAGCTGACATATCAGAAAACACACAAAACTTGACATGAAGTAAGTAAGAAAAACTGCATTTTAAAATATATATACATGTGCAGAAAAGTAAATATAAATGTCATGTAACACTGTTTGTCTCTTATAGCTCTTCAATGACATAAGGTAGCACAGCTCTTTCCTCTCTTTAACTTTAAAGCAGTAACACAAATGTAACACGGTTACTCTTTATAAATGTAAACACAATTCTACACACTGTCTGTCTTATAATTTGGTACATTATCCATCATGCCATATCTGTACACAGTCCTTATTATATCGTTATATTTAATCTTGTATTGTTTCTTATCTGCTTAATTTATATCCAGCTGATATAACGTGTGGATTTCCTCAGTGAGGGACAATATTTAAGAGAAAGTTTATCTTATCTTAAATATGTGAATTATTATATTATACACTCAACACCTGCTTTTTTAAGTCAGGCTTTTGAATGATGTGATTGACATGATGGATTTTATTTATGTTTTACGCTTCTTAGAAATAATTTTGTCTTCGATTTCTCTATTTGTGCTTATGTTTAATCTACTCAATGTATTGTTTGTTACTTAATGTTTTATTATATTCTTATTCTGGTTTTATGAACTTTAACTTCTATTTTGCCCTTCACCTATCTATCTATACTTTGTTATTAGATATTTTATTTACTTTGATCTCATCTGATGTTTCCTCATGTGTTATTTAGGATAGTGTTTCCCCCAGTTCCTCCTTTCTGACATGATGTTGGCTTGGTTGTATTGTTTTATTGCATTTTTTATTTCTTTTCACCTGTACAGCGCTGACTGTTTCCTAATTTATTACTTGGTTTAGGCAAGTTTATGTCTCTTGTCATAGTACTTTTTATTTACGTAGTACTTTTATCCTTTTCTCTACATATTTTATTTAGAATTTCTTAGATCTAGATTTGTATATTTATTCATGTCTTGTGATTGTTGTGTACCAGTCTTATTTGCCACACCAAATTCCTTGTGTGTGCAAGCTCACTTGGAAATAAAAAGCTTCTTATTCTTATTCTTCTTTGCATGAAAGTGTTAAACAAATATAGTGATTTATTGATGCACCCTGACATGTACATTTATCGAGGCTGTGATGGTTGTAGAGAAATTATGTTTTAATCTCTGGAGGTTATTTCAGCTGAATATAAGAAAGCAGCTGGTGACACAAGTGCTCACCAGTGTACCTGCTTCCATCAGTAGGTGGCAGTGTGGAGTCACGGGATGCCGCGGATGTTTTGTTTACTAATCTGCTCTTCCTTGTAGCCAGCAGCTAACCTACATTCTTGCTGACAGCAGAGATTCTGGCTGAACTAAGGTGTGTGTCAGCTGACAGCTGTGTGATGCTAGCATGCTAACTTCGGTGTTAGCAAACAGAAGCAGTTTTTTGTTAAACCGAAGTCGCTGCATTTAACTCCGTGTTGTTTTAGTTTATTTTTCAATTGGCGGGTCTTATCGTGTGACCCGAGCATTATTATGTGTCCAACTCGAGGAGGTTTACCAGTTAAACCAACTACCTAAGCAGCTGGTTTAGCATTAGCGGGCTAGCGGCTACATCTCGGGAGCAGCTCTTCCTAGCAACCGTAGCTAGCTGCTGCTGCTGCGGCTGGTTGGTTGGTTGGTTGGTTAACGCTAACCAGCGGGCGTCTTCATGGAAAGTTGTGCGAATGTCGCTGTAGACAAGCGAAGATAAATGTTGACTAAATGGCAAAAACCGAGCAGGGTAATGGACTGGACTTGCGGGGCAGCACAGAGAAGCTGACAGATAATGGGAGAGGATCCGAGCCCGAGGTGAACGGCGGCGGCGTCCCCGGAGAGACCCCGGTGGACAAGTACGGCTTCACCGGAGGAGCCCAGCAGAACTCACCGTAAGTGGCGTTTAATACTGCAAATATTTCATATAACACAGCAGCTGGATGTAGTGTTAATTAATGTGGGCACAGGCGGACTCTAGAGTTGTTGTTTATCTCTTGTAGTTGGTTGTTGAAGGAGGTAAATGTGAAGTTGAAGCTGTGTGAAGTTCTAACTGGATCTGTTGTGTATTTGTGGAAAATCAAATCAAACCCATTCTACTCTGTAAATAGTTGGCTGATTGAGTTATAGTTGGATTTTTGTGTCACCTGGACTTGTAGTTGTCAACCTGTTTGGTCTGTTGTGTGTCCGGTTGTGACCTCTTGACCTTGTAAATGTGAGTCAACTCCTCTTTAGCAGATCAACAGTTTTAATTCTTTCCCTTCCAGATGCATTCATTTACTTATTAAAGGTAAAAGATTGGAGGAAAGTACAAAAAGTGAACTGCATCACAACTAGCAGAGACCACAGTCCTTCTGTGCAAGCGTAGCAGTAAATACTGATTTTTAAATCTTTGTTTGTTGTGAAGGAATTAAGTCGGCTTTCTTACGTCTCTCTAAACTGCCAAATTTCTTCTGAGCTCTTTTGATCTTTCAGCCGTCTAGTTCCCAACCTGGTGATCCAACACTCATGTTCATCATTTTCCCACCTTTTTTTAAGGGATTTAATGCATGAGACAGGATAGAAAACCAAAATCATGATGCACAGTGTTGTGTTTGCTTGTCAGATGCTTAAGTGTTTGTGGTCATTACATGGCTGTGAGTGGACGTTTCATTGTTTAAAGGCGACACAAATCGGTGTTGTTGGGGAAGCACTGGGAAGTTCTCATCAAGGCTAATGCACAAGTGGAATCAAGTGTCCTTCTTAATATTTGTGTCCCGGTTACTGCGTCTTTTAAATAATAATTCAGTTTTATTTCACCTTGTTGTCTCGCATATTCTCTGTAAAATCACTGTGGTTACTGTGGGGTCGTGCTGTCCACCACAACATGATATGAGTCATCCATCGCTTGCAGCTTTCAGAAAAGTGGTTTTCACACAGATCAAATTAAACATTTGTTTTTGAGGCTGTGACCCAAAGTAAACACAGAGATGATGTGTCTGGAATGGACATTTTGCTGACTGCATCAGGGACTTCCATCCATGAGAAGTACACCAGCTTTAAATGTACTGGAAGTCCCTTAAAAGCTGGCTTTCGTATTTGGACCAGCACAACATCCCAGTTTGTGTTCGGTATCTGCTCTGATTGCTCCTAAAGCTGGTCCTTGACTTTACCTTGAATACTGAGAAGGTTTGGCTTCATGTTGTTTAAACATGCTCCATAAAGGAAGTGATTTGAGTTGATTTTGAATACATGATTACTTGAATAACTGATGAAACTGGGCAGTCTATGTTGACCTCTGCAACAATAAAGTATTTAGTTGTGTTCTGTTTTAAAGACACAATACAAACTGTCCTTATCTTCATTGTCAGTCAGATAAGATCGGAGTAACAGGCGGGACTCACTTTAACCATCGCACTGCAAAAGCTGTGGCCGTTAGTCTTTCAAGTAGGTTTTTGTCAAACAGCCCAGGAAATCTGTGTCACAGTGACAGCTCTGATGTTCAATAGCACTGCATTGAAGTGAGACACTGATGAGTGTTTTGTGTAGGAGGCTGTAGTGCGCTGAACTAGGGGAAAGTTCTCCCAGAGCTTCCTGTTTTCCTTGTACTTTGCTGCCGATGGCAAGTGTTCAAGTGCTTTGTCTGAGGGTAGGTTTCCTGCATGTACGAGGAAGAGATGGCTGTCGTCAGCGCCCCGCCCCCTCTCGTGATAGGATTCCTCTGTCATAACTACAGGGAAGTGACAGAGGACGGCTCATTATCAGCTTGTCTGAAAGTAATTGGTGTGCTTTTATTAGTTTCACTGTGCCCTGTCTCCACAGCTCTGAAGACGTCCCTATTGAGGTGTTGAGGCAGCGGGAGGCAAAATGGCTGGAGATGCTCAACAGCTGGGACAAGTGGATGGCCAAAAAACACAAGAAGGTCTGCTTTATAAACTGTCAATGTCCTCTGTTATTATTATAATGTCTTGATAATGAGATAAATCAGATACATTTATCTCCTAAAGTGAGCTGGAAAACATGCAACTATTGCACCATCATCCTTTTTTAATCTTAATTCTGTCCAAATCTGCTCTTATTCTTCTTTTGTGTTTCTTTTCTTTCGTCTCTTGATTAACTTTGCATGTTTTACTAACAGGTCAAAGAGCGCTGTCAGAAGGGAATCCCTCCATCGCTGCGAGGCCGGGCCTGGCTGTACCTCACTGGGGGCAAAGTGAAAAGGGAGCAAAACCAGGGCAAATTCGAGGTTTGTCATAGATTTATAGCCCCTGTCGTTATCTAAAACATGTATATTCATGATTTACAAGATAAAAACAGAATTTATTGATCCTGCATTGGAGAAATTTACAAAAAGCTAGAATGTGCAATTCCAAAAATAAATTGCAGCTGTGATTGCAGATCTGCAGCTTGAACGGTACAAAACATGTATAAGAGGAAGCTGGTATTGAGCTCATTATTTGAGGGCGCCCACTCAACAACTCAGCTTCAGCCACAACAAAATATGTAGTTTTACTGAGAACCAGAGAGGGCCAAGGTACTTTCTAGTGTCTCAGATTTAGCAGTACGCTAGCAAGCATCCAAACAGGGCCATCCATCCATCCATCCATCCGTCCATCCATCCATTATCTATACACCACTTAATCCTCACTAGGGTCATGGGGGGCTGGAGTCTATCCCAGCTGACTCAGGGTGAAGGCAGGTTCACCTGGACAGGTCACCAGTCTATCACAGGGCTACACTTAGAGACAGACAACCAAGCACACTCACATTCACACCTACGGACAATTTAGAATCGCCAATTAACCTCAACATGTTTTTGGACTGTGTGGGAGGAAGATGGAGAACCCGGAGAGAACCCACACTGCACGGGGAGAACATGCAAACTCCATGCAGAAAGATCCCGGGTGTCCTCACCGGGATGCAAACCGGTGGCCTTCTAGCTGCGAGGCAACAGTGCTAACCACCGCACCCAAACAGGGTTATGTTACACTGAATTAATTTAATTATGTAGCTTCCATCATACTGTACTCTAGCACTTACCATTAGCACAAGCTGTATTTGATTAGATGTCTAGCAACAGTTGTCATCACAGAAACGACTTCACCCCCTACGAAAAAAAAACAACCTGTCTTTATCTTTTAATCTGTGTGTGGTCGGGAACGGAAAATTCAAAAATAGCAACAGTAGCTAAGATTGCACAACATTTATCAAAGGCTAAACTGTACATGCATGTTGTTGTGAGGAGTTCATAGCTTCACTCAGGTTTTAAGTTCCAGAATAAAATGTCTTTTCAAAAAACGTGAAATTATTTATGTGTAAAGTTGCAAAAGCTGCATAAATTGTCATCATCAATTCAGGTCACTGTTATTTATAAAGTACATTTAAAGCAACAGCTGCTCATCCAAAGTTCTTTCCAATATAGAAATAAGATTAACATTACAAGTGACTAAATGTAATTTAATTTGTGTTGCTTTAGGAACTGGATGAGCAGCCAGGAGATCCCAAATGGGTTGATATCATCGAGAGGGACCTCCATAGACAGTTCCCCTTCCACGAAATGTTTGCAGCTAGAGGAGGTCACGGGTAAGAGCTTCCTTCTGTGTGTTTCCCAAATACTTTGTGTTAGCGTGGCTGAACACAGTGTGCTTTATAAATGTGCCGACGTACAGGCAGCAGGACCTGTTCCGCGTGCTGAAGGCTTACACTCTGCATCGACCTGAAGAGGGCTATTGTCAGGCTCAGGCTCCCATTGCTGCTGTACTTCTGATGCACATGCCAGCTGAGGTGAACACACACTCATGATACAACCGTTCCAGACTTTTTTTCCTTTAATATGAAATATCCAGACAGCGGATATCCACTGCGTAAAATGAGTGAAATAATAATATGTTTAACATGATGGTATAAATTCACTGGTAAATGTTTTAACATCTGTCCTCTGTGTTAAAACGGTCAACCACACACACACATGCTTTACTAAACATCTACTCTCATCCTCTGTCTTTATCCTAGGATGCTTTCTGGGTTCTCGTCCAGATTTGTGAAAAATACCTGCCGGGATACTACAGCACCGGCCTGGTATGTTGAAAGAAGTGCTTGAGAATGCAATTAGAGTTTAACAAGATGACTTATGAATTGTTCAGCTTGTGAAATTGTATACATGTCTGTTATAAGCAGAAATAGACCCACAATGTTGCTGTAACTTCCAAGAGCACTGGACCTCTAAAGCCTCATTTTCTGACACGTTATAGAACTGAATGTATTAAAGTATGTATCCCACAACTTTGGACGAGTTTCACCTGGTCAGAGCAGACCGGAGCTGGAGGGAGAGTGGTAAGAAGAAAGCCTGGGGACTCACCATGTATGTGAATGAGAGATGGTGTAATGCTAGCTGCACGTTAGCACTAAAGAGCGACGCTGCATGAAGGATGTTAAACTGCTGGTGGTTGGTTTGCGGCCGTTTTTACCTGCCGAGGGAGTTTTCACACGTCCTGCTGATTACAGTTTACCTCCCCCCCTCGGCTGATGCTGCTGCAGCCTGTGAGCTCATCCATAGTTCAGTGTCCCAGCTGCAAACATCACACCCTCAATCTCTGATCATCATCTCAGGAGACTTTAATCATACATGGCTCTCTACCACTCTCCCTGTGTGCGGACACCGGGATGCATTTTGCTTAATTATTGTTATTTTCTTGTACTTTCTATATTTTTGGATGCTGCTGTGGTGTATAAATTTCCCCCAATGGAGGATAAATAAAGTATTCTATTCCATTCTATAGAAATGTATATTTACTCAAGGAGAAGGTGGCGTAAACTCAACTTAAAGATTTACGCTTTTTTAAAGTTCAGTTTGATTTCGAAAGCCAAACAGAATTCTCTGTTTATGGAGTGAAAAACTTCCTTCTGCCTGCTGGTATGCGTGGCTACCGGTGGCGTTAGACTTGTCAGGCCAGTGTGACTCCAGCTTAACACTGATATGCTAACAGCCTAATAACATGAGGTGGTGACAAGGACGCGATAATCAGACAATCAGATTAGGCAAAGAGAAAGAAGCCTGTTCTGTCCCGCTCCTCTGACCAGCTGCTGTTCCGCGTCGTCCCCGCAGGAGGCGATCCAGCTGGACGGCGAGATCCTGTACGCTCTGCTGCGGCGGGTGTCTCCCGTGGCCCACCGCCACCTGAAGAAGCACAAGCTGGAGCCCATCCTGTACATGACCGAGTGGTTCATGTGTGCCTTCTCCCGGACTCTGCCGTGGGCCTCGGTGCTGCGTGTCTGGGACATGTTCCTTTGCGATGGTGAGGCGCCACACAAACTATTCACTGATCTACGTGATAAGTGTTTAACTCTGACCTGATGAGTCACTTTTGCGTCACAGAATGGATTTTAAAATGTGCTTCGTTGACCCGAAAGAGACGTGAAATGACTTGTGATGTGGTTGATCGACCGAGTGGAGAGGTTACGATGCAAAATAGAAAATAGCACATTTGAATTTGGGGGCATGCCTACGTGTGATTTAGAGGAGAGAAATAAGACAGTGTGGTTAAAGATGTGTGTTTTTATTTTTAAATTCAATAGACCTTTTATTGTATATTTAACTCAGTTATATAAATAAGTAACAGCAGTGTTTACTGATCATGTTCCCATCAGCTTCCCCTTTAGGCCTTGTCCACTTTAATGCAGACATTTTTCTAGACCGATACTCTGTTTTAAAATACTCTATCTACGTGACTATCTAAACTAAATATCCTCACATACCACAACCCGCAAAAACGAGCACAAACGTTGTAAAAAGTATGTCACAGCCAGTCAGCATCTACAATGCATAAAATACCAGAGAAGATCAATCTGTCATTTTGTCTTTTCTGCAGACTTTGGACTATGGATGCAGAAGTAGAGGCTTCTGCATGCCAGTCAAGTGAGGCTGTAAACGCTAACCAAATGCACACAAAGCTGTTTGTGCGTCCAGCATTGTGGTTGTTGAACAAACAAACAGAGGTCTGACATTGTTTCCCAAACTCTCTGTTTTACACGTCCACACAGATACACACAACCCGGAGTTTTACAAAATCTGTACTTTAGAAGGCATTTCAAAAACAATCTTTGTTGGATTCACCCTAAAATGAGGAACAAAAACCAACTTTCCGTATCAGTGTGGCCTTAATTTGACATGAAAAAGGTAATAATCTTTAAAGCTTCAAGAAGCTTTCTCTTTCTCTTTGACGAGGCTCAGTCAAAGACAAATATTTACTAGTAGTGAAAAACGGTGCTTCTGGCATGTGGAAGAACTGGTGAAGGGGTTAGATGGGTGTTACGTAATAAATGTGGTTTTCCTTGTTGTTGATCGGTGTGTTTGTGTTTAGTGGTGCAGCTTTTTCTACCAGGAGAAATCCCCCAACATAATCTTAATTATTTGTGAGTGACCTGACAGCTATTAATGGAATGTTCTTGTGACGATGCAAATGTTGGACACGTGAAGCCTCTCAGTTGTTTCAGTTTGAAATAATGAATATGACATTCAAAGCAGAACACCATAGGGACTTTCCGGGGATAAAATAATTACAACCGAACTATATTTAGATGCTGCTTTGAAAACACGTTCAGTTCCTCCAAAGGTTCCTTGTTGATGGGGAAGGTTCCTCCAGTGGAGCAGTTGTGAATGGTCATGATTGAGAAATGTTGATGCTAACAGCTGTACCTTCACGTCAAGCCTCTCGTCACATGTGTGTTGTTTTATCAGGAGTGAAGATCCTCTTCAGAGTCGGCCTGGTGCTCCTGAAAAGCATGCTGGGAACCCAAGAGAAAGTGAAGGCCTGCCAAGGTCTCTATGAGACGATGGAGCGGCTCCGAGCAATACAGCCACAGTACATGCAAGAAAGCTTCCTGGTGCACGAGGTGGGGATGTACTCGTAACCGTTTTAGTGTTTTGAACCTACGTGACTGCTGTTTTATCTACATGCAGAATCCCCTCTTTGACTTTGCCCTCCTGCGGCTGTGGGAGCGGCGTGTCACATGTGGTTCACACTCGTTCTGTGTCTGTGCTTCAGATTGTAGAGTTGCCGGTGTCTGAGAAGGACATTGAGAAGGAACACCTCGCCCAGCTGCGTCGCTGGAAGGAGACTCACGGAGATCTACACTGTAAGTCTCCTCCCAGGATGCACGGCGCCAAAGCCATCATGGCCGCCGAGCCGCCGAGCCGCCAGGACCTGAGGCAGAGACCGACCATCATCGTGGAGTCTCCTCTGGCACCGAAGCCAGACGGGGAGCAAGCCAAGGACGCCAAGGGAAGTAGAAAGACTGTCGAGGAAAACGGGAAGGAAACACTCGTCCCGCCACAGCAGACAGATAATCCTAACCCTCCTCCCTCCGACTCTTCACTTCTCCTCAATCACACAAACATACCAGGGTCCAAAGAGAGTCTGAGCAGTGCAGAGCATGACACTTACCTGTAGCAGGGCAACGTTTACACCAGTTAACAAGCATGAATCATTCCATCTAACTTAGCGGTCACACGCTGTCAGTGACATTAGAAACATTACTTAATGCGTCTGTAGCAGTCACACCGAGAGTTTTACTATTTTTATAAGTCATTGCACTCCAGACAAAGTCATGAAATTTAAAAAAAGTAGTTTTAAAACTTTCTAAAACTGAACAAAATGCCATCGTTCAGACTGTTAGGCTGTTATACTCAACACACTTTGTGTCATTACATTTATACAGGTCACTACAGACTGTGCTTTTAAGCTAAATGGTGCAGCGATGAACGTTTAGCTTTAACGTGCAGGACATTTGTACAAATGTAATGGAACTCAAACGTGTAATTTTCAGGGAGCCACAATCAGACATGGGAGAGTGACGCTAATAGCTTCATGGGACCGAACCACAGACTGTATATAAAAGATGGACGTAGCCATGTATTGTTTTTGAAGCCTCAAATTTACAATCTGGTCATCACCGTCGTGTTTTTTTCATACGTGACGGGACAAGTGAGGGACGGATCTGACAGAGAAACTGAGAACACTACGCACGGCCGTACAGTAGGAAGTTAGCCCTGCTTTATTGTGGATGTCACTCTAAATGGGTGCGTCATATACAAAATAAACACTGTGCTGTATTAAAGGAGACATAAAACACCATAAAGTAAGTAGGACAGTGTTTACTGAGCTAATCAAGGAAGAAATAGAATCATTTCCTTACTGGCTTCCAGAGGAGTCGCCCCCTGCTGGCCGTTAGATGAAATGCAGGTTAGGTCTGTTGATTAATTTTTCCCATCCAGTGCTGACGTCTGTCTTTATATCCAGTCTGTGGCCTGAACATGTAGGGACACACACTTACTCACTGTTAACAGCTCCTGCTGCTACTTACCTCTTAAAGCAGTGCTCTGATTATCGCTTTTGTTTTAAATGAAGTCTGATTTTTGTCTCAGTTGATGAGATCTTTTCCAGAGCACTTTGCCTTCATGGTCTTCCTTTTTTGCCTACATTAGTCACTACTTTGCCAACGCCGAGATTTGTACGTATCCTGCTTCGCTAGTCTCAGCCATTCGCGTTCGTTTTATAGACTCGCAGTTCATCAGCGTGTCTGTTGCTGAGCTGCACCCGTGAGTTTGTGTTTGCTGTCTTTGAACACTTGAGGGCGTCCTGAGATCGTCGCTCAGCCTCAGTAGCAGCAACACGAGAATAAAAACTGACACAAGCTGTGTGACGCTCACATGAAGGAAGAAAGTGCAGGGACATCTAGTGCCACTAAGCCAAAGATTTGTAATGAATATTTTTAAGGAATTATTCCAATCAGTTACGTCTTACAGTATTTGATTGTTGTCAATTTGGGAGTGCAAAGAGTTTCTATTTATGTTGTGAATGAATTGCGATAAATTGTGAAGAATCCTGAGCTGTTTTTTTGTACAATCCGGTTTAAAGGTGTGTGGATCTGTTGATTCATGAACGTCTAAAGGAAAAAGCCAGCGTTAGGACATTTTTGTTCACTACAATCTCAGAATATAAACGGAATCTGCTTCTTTTTGACAAATTTGTGGTGGAAATATTATTTTTGTTGACAAAACTGCGTTGAATCAGCTGCCAAGATTAAACTCCAAATTCAATATGAAGTAAAGGGAATTATCAAATATAGTACCGGACAAAACTACATCTGAAAAATGATCCGATCAACAGAAGATATTTAAAGTCAAAGGAGCCATAAACCTTTTGATGGTCACCAAATTGTAGGTGTTGATACTTACAAATAAAAAATGAATTCATTTGCAACCAGCATTAAACATTCTGCTTTATTAGCAGTTCCACACGTGTAAGCTTACATCAGAGTATTTTCTTGTCAGGAATGTTGTTGTGGTTGTGGGTCGGTGTTAACTTCACATTGTGGAGATTTTTGAAGTATTTGTTACGGGTTTATTAGAAAGCACTCTGAGGCCTGTGAGAGGCAAATTGACGCTTAAGTTTAAGCAACATGCAGCTCTTCAGCTGTCTTGTAACGGTGCGTCACCCAGGGATCTAAATGATGAGTTAGCCAGTCGTTCTGAAGGATGCAGGGATTGTACCGGATGTGGTTTGCGAGCGACACATTTGTTAAAGTTTGTGCTTCAAAATCCAGCAAATTCATGTAAACAAAAAAAAAAAGAAAGAAAGAAAAATGTACACTCCTTTAAGTAAGATGCTGCATATTGCTAATCATTGCAATAGTTCTGTTTCAGGAGAACCTTTATTAAACCGAGGGGCTTGTAAATTTGCAACTTTAAATGTAAGTTTATTTCCAATCTTTTCTCTCATTTGGTTTAAAATCAGCTTTTTCAAATCTACAAGGTGTTGTTTGTTTTTTTAATCAAATTGCATTTAAATCAATAAAACCTGAAACGTCTGATTTTGCAGATTCCCCATCTCTTTTTTTTCTCTGCATTTGCTATTAAACAAAGAAAAAGGGGGACAAGAGGTAAAAAAAAAAAAAGAAGCGCCACACAGACGGGACCCAACAAGCGGTATTTGAATACACCCTGTGTTATCATTCAGCGCCCTTACACCCGCCCTCCCTCGCCCACGCAGCAGCACACTTCCTCGGGACACCTGTTTCTCCGGCTCTTTCAGCTCTTTGAGGAATTTGCATCTCAAATAAGGCGAATTCCCACAGCACCGTCCAAAGCGCCTCACGCAGCCATTCGCCTTTGGTCTCTGAATGGACTCTTCTGCGTGTATACAGGCCTTCTTATTCTTTTTTTTTTTTCCCCCCCTCTGCAAGTTTCAGCTGCAGTCCAAGAACATGACGGCCAAGAATCTTCTCCTCTACATTTTAATCCATCCTGCTAGACTACACTTGGATGTGATTAGTTAGATTGTTATGGTCTCGATACTTCCGCTCGTTTTAAGCAGCATTCTGTCATTTGGCGATGCATGTGGTGGGACTGATTAGAGATAAATGGCTACACCCTGCAAGTCAGATGCGATCGCAGGTTCTCCCTCCCAAGGCTCCCTCGCAGCCTTCACACTGACTTTTTCTATCTCCATTTGTGTGTTTCCTGCCTGTCATTACAGCATTTTTGCATTTCTGCCTCCACTCATCAGCTCCTTTGTGCCCCGTCGTCAAACAATGCGAGCTTGTCCGCCCCCTTCCCCACCCAACTCCACCCTTCACCTCGGTCCGACACCGCCCCACCCCGCGCTACTGCTCGGTGACACCGGCTAGACCTCGACCGAAGACCCGGGAGGGTGTAATGGGAGACCGTCTTTACGGCTAATCTGCTGAAAAAAGAGGGAGGTGTGACCCAGACGTGGCCTCCGTAGCCACACTTTCAGACCGAAGGCTGAGCTGAATTCTGAGCATTAGGAGAATAAAAGCTTGTTTCTGGGGCATCTCAGCTCCCTCTCCAGCCCCCCTACCAGGAGCGCTTCAAAAGTCCAGCGACCAGAACCAACCTTTAAATAACGGCGTTGTCATTTTGAGAAAATATCTGTTCTATTTTCCTTGCCTCCAATTTGGAATATGCCCTTTCGCTCATTCCGTGTTGCCATTGAAGCCTTGTTCAGACTGAAAATAGCACCATGTTTTAAAACACACACACTATGTTGGTGTGAACGTGTTGCTACAAGCAGTGGTGAGAAGATGAAATGTGATCCAGTCGGAGTAACACTCTACATGTGCCATAGGACTCATCAGGCACAGAAACACTACGCAGCATGTTTATAAGACTGGAGACGGGATTATACAACTCTGGAAAGTCGTCACTGCAACAATCGTTTCATCCTCCCGTCTCGATGACTGCAGGATTAATGTCGCAAAGTAATCTAGCAGGAAAATGCTCGTGCACAGATTTAATTGCATTTATTCTCCAGCTGACAAAACATTTCCCAGCTCAAATCTGACCTCATTTCCTGTCATTTCTCCAATATTACCATCTAATGAAGACATTAAATACCCAGAACAATATTTAGTTCAGGATTTCTGTCACCTACAGGAGATCATGTGCACCGACGACGTGTGTGAAGCAATTTCATTTCCCTCACAAAGTTATCTTGAGTTTGCCCACCCATGGATGTTATCGAGCTGTAGTTTAACCACATTTTCAGACTTGTTCCAGAAGTAGGAAAACCGCTGACATTTGCAGCCGTATATTTGGGTGGAGACACAGGGGTATTTACAGTATAGGGGTGGGGTACAGGGGTCCAGTACAGTATTTACAGACAAGGTTCCAGGTCCCAAAAGTTTTGGAATTGCGTCCAAAATTACTCAAAATCTTCTGAAATGACTGGAAATGAATCAAAAACATGTCCTAAATTAGTCCCAAAATGGCCTTAATTGTCCACAAACTGACTAAAAATTATCCCAAATTTGTCCAAAACTGACATAAAATTATCCTGAACAAGCTAAAAATGGTTTCAAATTACTACAGCTGGCCCAAAATTACTTCAATTTGTCCACGTAAACAATATTGAATAATCACTGGCCACTGAAAATGGAAATAAAATACATAAAATGAGTCTAAAATAACTTATATTTGTCCAAAATCTGCCCAAAACTACTCAAAATGGTCCAAATTCACAATAATGAATCATCATTGGTCCTTGAAAAAGGAAAAAAAAATGCAAATTTTCAAACCCAGGCTGTTGATTGATTGAAATTTATCCAAAAATGATGCAAAAGTTGATCAAATTAGTCCCAAAATGATCTTAATTTGTCCAAAACTGACAAGAAATTGTCCTAAACAACTGAAAGTTCCAATTTCATTTCCCTCACAAAGTTATCTTGAGTTTGCCCACCCATCATCCAGCTTAGTACAGAACACATGGATGTTATCGAGCTGTAGTTTAACCACGTTTTCAAACTTGTTCCAGAAGTAAGAAAACCACTGACATTTGCAGCCGTGTATTTGGGTGGAGACACAGGGGCTACAGAATTTAGAACATGTTGCAAACCTGCTATATGTCAAGTCAGTTGTTTTTATGTAGCACATTTAAAACCATTGCACTGAAGTACTTTGCATAAAAAATAGAGAACGGGGGATATGAGTAGTGTTATGAATCACCTTAACAAGTTTAAATACTGTGTTTAAGACCCTCAAGTGTTATTCAGGTGTGTTGGTTCTGAAAAATTGATTTAAGAGCATTTGAAAGCAACACAAAATGCCTCATTGCACAATTTTCCCTTTTTTTTTTTAAACTATAGCTGATTCTACAAAGTGTTTTGCTGTGTTTCTATCTCACACACACTCAGAAACCAGTTGCAGCTCTGGTGCAAGCTGCCAATGTGAGGTCCTGCCATTAGCAGCAGCTTAAGGGGTCAATGTGTTGCCAGAGGACACTTGTGCAGAGGTTCGGACCACAAGCAATGCACTCTACCACCTGAGCCGTAGCTGTTTTCCTTTAAACAAAATCAGTTCCACCAGAAATCGAGACAAAAGAGGCAAACAGTTGATGTTAGATGTTCACGAGGATGCAGAAAATTAAGTGTCTGATGCTCCACATTTCCTAAAAGAGGACATCCAGGCCTCCCTATCAACGTGTCCCACCCAATATTCAAACACAACCTTCATCTTTGTTTGCTGTTAACTAGAGATACGGCCTTTCTCAGAGGCGCGTTGGGTGATTTGTTGCTAGAAGACTCAACACTGTTTAAAGAAGTTCAAAGTAAGTGTGTGAGTGTCTGATGAACTATCTTACATAAGTAGCCACTCTGCTGTACTTGTAGCCTTTTCCTGAGCTCACGCAGGAATCACTTCACCGTTTACTCTTCAGTAGTGTCGTAGCTACACCCGACACAAGTAGGGCACGGACGTAAACAGATATGTCACACGTGATGTCTGTTTATACACCGGAGCTGTTTATGGGGGGCGGTGAGTATAGTGAGGTGGATGATCTCACGAAGCCATATGTGTGAAACGTCTGGGAGATTATAGTCTGGCTTCATGAGCTGCAAAGCCCCTCTAAAGCTTTTTGGTAACAAGGACCGAGGGTCTGCAGCTTTATCCCCACCTGCCATCCCCCATCATGCCCTCTGCTCAGCGGGGCGATTAGAAGGGGTAGAGGTCAGAGGCACCCAACGAAAAAAACACAACTTTGATGAGTGAGGTAGCTTTATTTATGCAGAACTTTTCACAACAACAAAAAAAGAGCTTCAGTGTCCAATTATGAAAAATATGAAACTGTAGAACATGTGGGGCGATTAGAGGCCAGGAGGCATCAATAAATGAGCAAAAACAGGTTCTGAGAAGAGATTTAGAACCCCCAAAGGGACACTGTTCCATAATCTAAAGCCAGAGCAGAGGTCTTGAACTTTGCGTGTCACCAGGAAACCTTATTCTGATGACCTGAGAGGCCAAGTGGATCAACACCTCACTGATAAATGGAGCAACCAAATTAGCTAATGCTTTAAAAGTAATTAGGATTTTAAAGCCAGTTGTGCAGTTCACAGGAAACCTTTGAAACAAAACCAGAACTGAGGTGTCATCAAAGAGTCTTTGGTAGTGACGGTGCAGCAGAGGTTTGGACTGATTGTAGACGTGCTGCAGCGTAAACAGGAATGAGTACGTCACAGTAGTTAAGATGCAAAAAAATAAACAGTGTATGATTGGTCCAAGTTATTGAAAAGACAAGAGTGGAAACAAAAGACTAGGAAACAGAAATGCTGTGGAGATTTCTGCCAACAATGAATCAAACACTGCGGAACCCAAGTACTTTAAGCAAAACATCATCAGTAAAGCGATGATAACTAACACAACCAAACTACTGACTACATATAAAGATCTGTGCTGACATCACCCACAGGTTTTCTGAACCCTCTACCTAACTACCTGCTTATCTAAAAGTGAGCAGAGAGGAGGAGCATGATGGAGCTGAGGCCGGCCTTGAAAGCATCTCTCGCCTTGGACTCACCGATGACGACACCCACCTGTCACTCAATGCAGCCACAACCTTCATTATGGGTAACTTCAAGCCTTAACACAATCTAAACAGGTGAGTAATGGGAAACTTCACCACCCTACAGTCGTCATGAACAGAGAAATTAGCAGCAGAGTGCAAAACTGTTTTGTGTAACAGGCTGTAAACGTGTTTATTTCTGCTGTAAAGTTGGGGATTGACTTGCTTTTAAAGCCAACCTCAAGTGGACATTTGTGGAACTGCATTTTTTTTGTTTTGTTTTTTGCATTTCATTTTTTGTCTTAATGTTAGAAGTTGCAACTTCAAAAAAACTAATAAATAAAGTGATCCAAAGAGAACAAGCAAAGAGAGAATTATACACATCCCAGAATAGATCCTTGAGGAACACCACAACTTTGATTTGTTGATAACAATTTGAACGGTACTGACTCGGATT